AAATAATACTTTTCCCAGGATTGTCGTGTGTGAATGTCCCGTAGTAGTTGAACTGATTACTTGCGTTGATCCAGAATGTTGTTGTTTATTGATCTGATGTGTTCCTCTCCCCCTCAGTGGATCTTCTTCAGATGCTGGAGATGAACATGACCATCGCCTTCCCAGCAGCCCCTCTGCTCACCGTCATCCTGGCCCTCGTCGGTAAGTCCGCATCCGTGAAATCAAGTCCTGCATTCATTTCCTGAGTGGAGGTAGTCTTATCGTGAGTAGAGGAAGTCATATACTGAGGTCGATGCCGTCAGGTCCTGATTTCAATTCAAGATTAAAGGCTTTTATTGTCATTTGTCCATAGCTACAATGTAGTTATGACAATGACAATCTGAGGTCACAGGCTCCTCCAACAGAGCAACACAATAACACAGATAAAATAGTGCAAGAAGAGTCTATATACAAAGTGATTGGAATATGATATATTGGATCAATCATTTCTAAGTAGCAGATGAATGTTATGGATGTTGTTTCACAGTTCAGGTGTTTAACAGTCTTCTGGTCTGTGGGATGAAACTGTCTCTGAGTCTGGTGGTTTTAGTCCGGATGCTGCGGTACCGCCTGCCAGACGGCTGCAGACAGAACAGTTTGTGGCTGGGGTGATGGGGGGCTTTTATAATCCTGAGGGGCTTTCTTACTGAGCCACTGGGAGTAAAGGTCCTCCTGCTGATGTGCGATAGTTAAGATATAGCAATGAAAATGTAAGCCACAGGCTCCTCCAACAATGCAACATGAATGTATATAGGACAAATAAAACAAGTACATCAAATACAATATGTATTCAAATGCAAGAGAATGTTTTGAGATGTACAAAATAAAATAGAGCAAGAAGAGGTTTGAGGAGGTGATTAGTCATGTCTGGTCGGAGGTTTTCATGACCAGATTTGAGGGCAGTCATGTCGCGAGTGGAGGAAGTTATAGTCCATGTATAGGAACTTACATCAAGAGTGTAGTTACTCATGTTCCAGATGAAGGTGGTCAAGGTGGTTGTGAAGGTGGTCAAGGGATAGTGGTGGTCTAATGGATAGTGAGGTGGGCTGAAGATCGGAAGGTTGTGAGTTCAAATCCCGCCAGGAACACCACCACAAGTGTGCCCTTGAGTAAGGCACTTAGTCCTTAGTTACTCCAGAGAGGATGTCCCTGTAATTGGTCATTGTAAGTCGCTTTGGATAAAAGCTTCAGCTAAATGAAATGAAATGTAAGGTGGTCAAGGTGAAGGTGGTCAAGGTGGTTGTGAAGGTTGTTGTGAAGGTTGTGAAGGTGGTCAAGGTGGTGAAGGTGGTGGTGAAGGTGGTCAAGGTGGTTGTCAAGGTGGTGAAGGTGGTTGTGAAGGTGGTGAAGGTGGTGAAGGTGGTCAAGGTGGTGAAGGTGGTCAAGGTGGTGAAGGTGGTCAAGGTGGTGAAGGTAGTCAAGGTGGTGAAGGTGGTGAAGGTGGTGAAGGTGGTGAAGGTGGTGAAGGTGGTTGTGAAGGTGGTGGTCAAGGTGGTGAAGGTGGTTGTGAAGGTGGTGAAGGTGGTTGTCAAGGTGGTTGTGAAGGTGGTCAAGGTGGTTGTGAAGGTGGTCAAGGTGGTTGTGAAGGTGGTCAAGGTGGTGGTCAAGGTGGTGAAGGTGGTGGTCAAGGTGGTGAAGGTGGTTGTGAAGGTGGTCAAGGTGGTTGTGAAGGTGGTCAAGGTGGTTGTGAAGGTGGTCACTGAAAGCAAGGTTTATTATCGGGAGATTAAAAAAAATGGATTCCTGTCATCAGACTTCGTCCTCTTCAAGTCTCCAAGTTCAAATCTGAAGCCTGTGATTGATTGGCTGTTTTGTTAAATCCTAACCTGCTGATGTCACTTCCTGTCTTCAGGCATGGAGGCCATCATGTCTGAGTTCTTCAACGACACGACGACGGCTTTCTACATCATCCTCATCGTCTGGTTGGCCGATCAGTACGACGCCATCTGCTGCCACACGAACACCAGCAAGCGCCATTGGCTGAGGTCAGTCACATGACCAACTATACAGGGATGACATTGTTTAATCATAACTGGGTGTTTACGGTTTATTTATTTGGTTAGTTTTTATATATATTGAAGTAATAATGATATAATCTATTTATAATTGTAAATGTATATTGTATCTAGACATACATTTAGATGGCTTTAAAGTGGATTTATTGCTCTGATATTAATGTTATATATATTTGTATTGGTGTTTAACAAATAAATACACCCCAACAAGAAACAATATGTTAATAAATGGTTAAATAAAATGTTGAATATTAAATAATACTAGCTAACGGCTATGTCCGCTGACGCTGAGTGAACGTGACAGTGGAGTAAAAACAAAAATAAATGTTATTTAGTTTTTGGGAGAAGGGGTAATAAGGGTAAACTTCTTCCCACCCCTTTCAGATGTGTAATCAGGTAGATCATTTGTTTATATAATTAGTTTAGTACTGCTTAAGTTTGTACAGTATCATAATTATCTTGTTTAATTTCATTATTATTATTTTCATTATTGTTTTACATGTTCGAAATGAATCAAATAAAGTGTTTTATTTGTAATACTCACATATATCTTCTCTGTTTCTCAGGTTCTTCTATCTGTATCATTTTGCCTTCTACGCGTATCACTACCGCTTCAACGGGCAGTACAGCAGCCTGGCTCTGGTCACTTCCTGGCTCTTCATCCAGGTGGTTTTTCATTATTGGTTTTTTATTTTACTCCTATTGTGTTATTTTCTATTGTATTTATTTCAGTCAGACAACTCACGTGTTTCTTAATATGTTTATTAGAAGCAGCATATAGTTTGAGTTTGGCGTCTAGGCTCGGGCCTCATCACTCCACAGATTTACAAAGAACATTGAGTGATGATTAGATAACTACCCCCCGAGCCTACAGGTGGAAGCTGGGGTGGAAGCTGGGGTGGAGGCTGGGGTGGAAGCTGGTGGTGGAAGCTGGGGTGGAAGCTGGGGTGAAGCTGGGGTGGAAGCTGGGGTGAAGCTGGGGTGGAAGCTGGGGTGGAAGCTGGGGTGGAAGCTGGGGTGGAGGCTGGGGTGGAAGCTGGTGGTGGAAGCTGGGGTGGAAGCTGGGGTGGAAGCTGGGGTGGAAGCTGGGGTGGTAGCTGGGGTGGAAGCTGGGGTGGTAGCTGGGGTGGAAGCTGGGGTGGAAGCTGGGGTGGAAGCTGGGGTGGAAGCTGGGATGGAGGCTGGGATGGAGGCTGGGGTGGAAGCTGGGGTGGTGGGGCAGGCGAGTGTTACGGGTCCCCGATATGAGGACCACAGTAACGGTTATGATACCTGTATGGTGCAGGTGAAACAGAAGTAATGAGGACACCTTGTGTTCAGTTTCCTTCCAGATTACTTCTCCTGAGGTTGTTTTATTACACAAAATCATATAAACATATTAATTATCTTATGCATTTCAGTTTCGACTTACATTCCTCAATAACCATTCACATACCTTCACTCTGTCTGTATGTTACTCTTTTATGTGATAAACACATAGGCCTATGTCGAATTGAATTTCACATTCAATAAAATCTGTTGTACCTTAAATACATTTGTATACAGTATTAACCTGTATTTAATACTACTCTTCTTTTTACTTTCACTTAAAAGTAGTATTTCATGACCCCTCTAACCTGTCATGTTGACTATTTACCTTCTTCCATTAATGGCAGGTCACTAAAATGCATTACTGAAACATATTTAAGTGTAACAAACAACCTTACTGTTTTACCAACAGTAACTAACTTAAAACCCTTACAAAGTACATATTTATTACAAACTCACAATCACTATACATGCATGTAAATACTCAGTGTACGGGAGGCTTCAGATATACTGACAAACTTGTATCCTTACTGCGTCAGATCACGTTGTCCCCAAAATGGCGCCGTACCGGGGAAGCTAGGCTAATACACACACACTATTTAACGGTTTTACACATGTAAACAGCGCTACAAAGTCTTTAACTGTTAGCGGGCCGTTACATATTATCTTCGCAAACCTTATGGGGGATTCATTGTGATTTATGCACAGTTTACCAACCAGGTGAAACAGAAGTAATGAGGACACGTTGTGTTCAGTTTCCTTCCAGATTACTTCTGAGGAAACCCCGGGAACGTCCGTCGCTTTAATCGGTACCCCGGAACCATTGAATCGAACACAAACGTTCCGCCTCACTACTTACTGCATCTATCGACCCCGTTAGTGAAATGAAAATAACAGATGTACAAAATAAATGCATGTTCTAACTCTAAATAATAATACTTATTATATTAATGTGGTCACACATCCCAGGGGTGCCACACGAGCAGCAGCAACATGAAACACCGCAGCAGTAGCAATGTGAACGCAATAGCAGGGCGCAAACGCGGCAGCAGCAGCATAGCGAGGCAGAGGCAGCCTGGCAGCTTAAATAGAGCGGCATGTTTAGGGGAATGTGTTTGGTTGGTTGTAAGAGGGACGAGGTGCGTCACGTGTTAATGTATCATTGGTGCTCGAGTTGACTGCCTGAACTTGCTCGCAGGCTTCGCCCCATTCCCTGTATAGCACTTTGGTCAACTGAGGTTGTTTTAAATGTGCTATATAAATAAAGGTTGAGATTGAGGTCAGAACCTCCTCCATCCAAACACTGACGGGAAGACACAGGGCTTTTAAAATAACTTCTAAAAATCGAAGTATTTCATAGAGATTCAAGATTCAAGGCTTTCGTTGTTATTTGTACAGCAAAAAAAAAGTCCCAGGCTCTTCAAACGGTGCAACATGAATATAGGACATAGAACAAATAAAACAGAAATGTAAACAAACACTGAAATAATACGAAAAAAAGGCAGAGTTTGAGAGGAGCCAAAGACACGGCAGCCCTCATAGATTAAGTTACGTAGCCCGACATGTTCACCATCCTGTTTGAAGGTCAGGGGCTTTATTTGTAACACCCTTTGTTAGAAAAGTCTCACTGGTCACCAGCTTGAGCTTCAACCTCAGGATCCATGTATTTGTGATCCTCTCAAGAATGGAAGTCGTCAAAATCTAAAAAATCTGGCTTTTTCTCAAAAATCTGACTTTTTCTAAAAAATCTCAAAAATCTGACTTTTTCTCAAAATCTCAAAAATCTAACTTTTACACACAAATCTAAAAAATGCTGACTTTTCTCAAAAAAAGACTTTTTCGCAAAAATCTCAAAAAAATTGACTTTTTCACAAAATTCGGACTTTTTCTCAAAATCTAAAAATTCTGACTTTTTCTCAAAAATCTCAAAATTCGGACTTTTTCTGAATACTTAAATGTTAATAATCCCTGGTCCCCGGCTTGAGCTTCAATCTCAGGATCCATGTATTCCTGATCCTCTCCAGAATGGAAGTAGTCATCACATACAGAGCATCAACTAGTTCCTGAACAGTGTCCTTCACATGCTGATATCCAAGAGAGGGAGTTACACAGTCACAAGATGGAGGAATAGAAAGCAGTATTCAATGTTTACTTCAGATTAGCTCCACGTCAGAAATGAGCATGCTTGTCATATGTCTATCTCCATAGAGGCTGAATCATCATGTTCATCACATAGCTATCATATGCCTCAAACAGTCCTGATGCTCTTCTAGGTAATCACACATCCTGTCATGTTCACAGCTACAGTTGGGGTACCTTTGTTAGCATGTTACTCTCATGTTGGAAGAGGACATTCAGGATTTTCCCAACACTTCCTTCTTGTTTATTATTTATTATTTTAACTAGCTGCTATCTAAAAGCCTTTGAATCCTTAAATCGTCGCCTTATACCTAACCTCCTAACCTCCTGACTTCCTTCTTGTCCTTTCAGCACTCCATGATCTACTTCTTCCACCACTACGAGCTCCCGGCCATCCTGCAGCAGATCCGGATCCAGGAGATGTTGCTCCAGAACCAGCAGGCGGGTCAGAACAACCAGACGGCTCTGCAGGACAACCTGAACAACAACCTGAACAACAACCAAAATAATGCTGCTGCTAATGCTGCTAATGCTGCTAATGATGCTAATGATGCTAATGATGCTAATGATGCTGCTGCAGCGCCCGAAAACAACACCGACAACCCTCCAGGACCAACAGCTGATCAACCAGAAACCCCAGCGGACCCCCTCGCCTCCCCTTCCTCCCCAAATGCAGCAGCTGTGGGAGGAGAGGTGAGGTCCGAATTGAACTGGGTTTCTCAAACGGCCGCCATTATCACTGAAGCGTTGTCTTCTTCAAACCAGCCTGTAGGAGGAGAAGAATTAGCAGCAGCAGGAGGAGGAGGAGGAGAAGCGTTGGATGTTGTTGAGATTAAACCCAAAGTGGGAGGAGCCTCACCCAAGTCTGACCCCCCCCTGAAGGAGGAGGAAAAGGAGGAGGAGGCGCCCCCCCTCCCCAAAACTGACTGTCCCCCCCCTCATAGTGCCGGTACAGACTGCAGAGCAGAGAGTCCGTCCTGAGAGGAAAACAAAACCCAGTCCTCGGGCTCTCAGGATCAGGGGCCATTTTATTATTTTAAAAACATCTGATGGATTAGTTCCCAACCTGAGGCCACACAGGAAGTGCATTTTAGTTAATTTCTCCTCTTCAAATTAAAAAGAAAGGAAATGTTTTGGTTAAACTGCTTCTAGGAATCTGAGCGTCCTCTGCATTTAAAGTGATTTATTTTAGGAAGGAAGCCAAAACAACGGGAAGGTTTCGAATGAGTGAAACATGATTGATGAATTATTAATCAGTAATTGATGATCAGATAAATGATTGATTAGTTGTTGATCAGCCCTGATTCTGACAGACTGAAGCACAAACCTGATTTCTGTTTCAATCTGCTTTTATTTTGAAGAAAAGACTCTTTGAGAGCAGGAAGTGGACGGATGCCTTATCAATGATCCTTCAGAGACGCTCAGCAGCGGAGCCAGCTGATTGGTTGTGCAATATGACGCCGTCATACCTCAGGCTCCGCCTCCTACCTTCAATGTGATGCGTTCTGGTGGTGCGTTCAGGTTCCCCTCGTCAGCTTGTAAATGTCAGCGTTGTCCGTTTGCTTCTGTCGTCACGTCGTCACAGCTTAAGGCAAATACACACAACTCCTGTGGTTCAGTCTTGGGTCCCTGAACGCACCATGAGCTGGGGTACCTGAACGCACAGCAGGCTGTTGTGAAGGAGGCGGAGCCTGCAGTGTGACATCACAGGAACTGAACAAAGTGATGGGGGGGGGGTATTTTTCTTCTTCGTGCCTCTGCTGGATGACTGTAGCCTCGTTAGCTGATCTGAAGCCTGAAACTCATCAAACTGTATTTAACTGTCCAGTAAACCAGTGCAGCTGTTTGCACACAGACGTGGGTTGTTGTTGTTGTTGTTTTTGTTATTATAACTATTATTTCTGTCTGTATTTAAACCTCAGATAGTTCATGAGGTTGATGTGCTAAGAGTTTATTTGACAGATTTTTTCAGACAAATGTGACCATCATTATAAATTAACCAAAAGAAAAGAATCCTAATCAAAGTTTTAATATTTTGAAGTTGGAATATTACAATAAAGTAATATTTAAAGGTTTCAATATACAAACTTTTCTCAAGGGTCTTTGTTCTGGAAAACCTTTTTTTAGACTAAATATTAAAAACTTTCTTTAAAAAAACCTTTGAACACTTTTCATAATTACACAACTTTCCTAAAACTATGAAGTCATACTATAATAATTAATAAAAAGGTCAAAGATTCATATATTATATTTTATAAAAACAATATACTATAACTTTAAAAGTTGTAGTTTCATAGTATAGTATGTGATAAGAAGAAATAGGCAGTAAAATGTGTCAAAAAGTCATAGTCAGTATAAAGTTTGTGTAATAAGTCATAAAAAGGAAGAGTATAACATGCTTAAATCTAAAAGTTGTATTTGAAAAAACATTTAAATTAGTAAAATATGTCTTGAAAATAAGTAAAAAGTTGAATTTGATTTTTTTTTTTTAAGTAATTTTATGTCAAAAATAAATTCAATAGATGAGAGTAACACATGCGTCACTTCCGGGCAAAAATGACGGAAATGTAATTTGAATGGCGGTCAATACAAATTCTGAAGTTTTTGCCAGTCCGATTACGATGGCCAGACAGGCAAATATTATATTATTTTCCGCCTCGCTCATGAGAGTAACAGCTGGCGAAATTACGGCCTCGCCTACTGATTTTAATTTAACCATATATCGAGCCCGATCGTCGATTTCCAATGATTTCATGTAATTGTTTGCCTGACTGGCCGTCGTAATCGGGCTCTCTGAAGATCCAAAAATCCACCGTTTTCTTACATTTCTGATCGGATTGGTAAAAACTTCAGAATTTGTATTGACCGCCATTCAAATGACAGCGTTGTTTTCCCCTAAAAGTGGGCGGGGCCGTACTTTTCGCCCGGAGGTGTTACTCTAATGCATAGGCGCTTTCAAACCGGAGTACTTTTCCCAGGAATAGTTCCGATAGTTCCTGGGATTTTGCGTTCACACCAAAAAGATCTGGAACTAGAACCTAGTTCTCTGGAACCTTTTCACCCCTTTTTATTCCCTGCTAGAGAGGTGGGACTTTCCTGGGGAGAAAAAGGTTCCAATTTGTGATTGGCTGGGCGAATTGCAAACCACGCCCCGTAAAACTCAGAAAAGTTTTGTGAAGCCACCATTTTATTTGCTCGCATTAGCATTATTAGCATTATCATTAGCCCAGCGCACCAACGGAGAGAGACTAACTTATGGCAACACAAAATAAAACGTGGGAGTGGTGGAGTGATGATGAGGTGTCTGCGCTTCTGGCGATTTACCCGGGACTTCGGGTGGCGATTTACTGCCACCCGAAGTCCCGGACTCCAGGTGGCAGTATACGCCGTGAAGTTGTTTGCGGCCTGCCAGTAAACCCAAAGCAGAAGAAGAAGAAGTGACGTCAGCGGCTTCATTTGCCTAATCCTCCCTCAGGGATTTATTCTGGTGTGAACGCGATCTACTAGATAGTTCCAGGAATTAAGAGTTCCTGGGACTCTTCCTGGGAAAAGTACTTGGTGTGAAAGCGCCTAATGTAGGAACTTAAATCTGAGCGTCATCTGCATACAGAGATTTATTTAAAGTAGGAAGCCGACAAATCAGTAATTCATCCGTAATTGATTGATAATTGATCAGAGCTAGATGATTGAATAGTTGTTGGTCAGTTATTGATACATATTTGATCAGGTAAATGATTGATCATTAGGCGCTTTCACACCAAGTACTTTTCCCAGGAATAGTTCCCGGAAATCTTTAGTTCCGGAACTATCTAGCAGAACGCGTTCACACCGGAATAAGTCCCTGAGGGAAGATTACGCAAATGAAGCCGCTGACGTCACTTCTTCTTCTTCTGCTTTGGGTTTACTGGCAGGCCGCAAACAACTTCACGGCGTATACTGCCACCCGGAGTCCCCGGCCGGAAGTCCCCGGAGTTGGGGACTGGCTTCAGTAGAAGTTGCTGGGACTCCCAGCAGCTTCTACTGAAGCCTTCAGAGTAAATCGCCAGAACGCTGACACCTCCTCATCTCCACCGCTCCCATGTTTTCTTTTGTGTTGCCATAAGTTAGTCTCTCTGCGTTTGTGCACTGGACTAAAGCTAATAATGCTAATGCGAGCAAATAAAATGGCGGCTTCACAAAAACGTTGCAGTTTTACGGGCCGTGGTACGCAATTCGCCCAGCCAATCAGAAATTGGAACCTGGAAATTGGAAGAGGTTCGCAAAAAAAAGTTCCAGTTCCAGATCTTTTTGGTGTGAACGCAAAATCCCAGGAACTATCGTAACTATTCCTGGGAAAAGTACTCTTAAAATAAATAAAAGTCACTGAAATATGTCATAAAAAAAACTTAAAACGGGTGGAAACAGTTTCTCAAACTGGACAAACCTCAGGGACAAGAGGAGTGACACGCTGGAGGACGGAGGAAGGTAAAGGGAGGGTGCAATGAGACAGGTGTGTGTAGTCTGGAGGCAGCAGGTGAGTGGATATGGTTTTGCAGCACATGAAATACTGTTCAGATAAAAAGACAAACGTATCACAATTATATTAAATTTATCGTGATTATATTTAATGGAGCCTGGAGCACTGAATTTCTTTGTTATTGTTAAATCGGTTTTAAAACTTTAAATGGAAAGCTGTTGGAGATGCGTTTATTAAAAAGGAAGTAAAAAGAAACCTTTGAATAAGTGTTTTTTAAATGTACAAATAAAAAGAGTGTCAAACAGGGTATCAACAGGTTTTAATGGGTAATTTGTACAGAAAACATTTATATAAAACTTTAAATAAAAGGTGTCTCGAACCTAACCATTGATAACGTGTGATCTACCAACACAGTCTCACGGCATTTCGTGTTATAGTCACAAAATTAATCTATTGATTCGTGTTCACCAACACGATTTTCGCATTTTTTTCGTGTCACAGAACAATTTTAAAAGCAATGTAAATAATAACAAATTAGAAGGGAAAAGACATTTAAAAAAATACAGATTTCAGTATTCTGACACAGAACCATTTTAGAAGCAATGTATTTATATTGGTAGTATGTTTCGTGCCTGCACCAAATAATAACAAATTAGAAGGAAATAAAATACAGATGTCAGTATTCTGAGGCTCCGAGCCATTTCTTTTTACTCGCGAACGGCAAAAAATCTCTGACATTATACAATTTAAAATAAAAGGGATAGGGTTAGGCTTAGGGTAAGATATTGAGTAAGAACATGTTTTTATGAACCACACAGCTTCTGGTATTCCAAGACCCGACCGGACAAAAAGACGTGTTGCAGGCACGAAACATACTACCAATAGAAATACATTGCATTTCAAATTGTTCTGTGTGACACGAAAAAAATGTGAAAATCGTGTTGGTGAACACGAATCAATAGATTAAATTAATTTCGTGACTAATAACACGAAATGCTGTGAGACTGGGTTGGATCTACATAATGTCTGAATATCTTTGAACAAAAAATAAGTATTTTCCGTACACTAAATGTGTTTTTAAAGGTAAAAAAAAAACATTTTCATTGGGACAATTAATATCCAAATGAATGGATTGTGATAATGTCTTATAACAATTTGCAGATCAAATGCAAAACCATTTAATCCTCAGATCAAAAGTTACTGTGCAGATAATCCATTAAAAACATGAAGATAAATAATACATCGTTAATGTTCTAATCAGAGTCTGTGACGTTTCTTTAGTAAACCTTAATTGTTCCTATAAAACACAAAGTGGATTTCGCTGTTTTTCTGCAGAGTTTGTCAAAGTCTCATTTCATTTTGTCAGTTTTTGATCCTCTGAGGCTCCCGTAGGTCAGTTCAGGTGACCAACGTTTCTGAGACACGTTAGCCTCACGGTGGCCATTATAAACATTCGGAAAGAAAGATTAATATTTAAAAACGACTTTATATAAACCGTCTTGTGTTTTCACGTAAACTTCTCCCAAAAGCAGCATTAAGCAAAAAACCCAATTTCATTTTAAACTACAGATCTGAATTTTAGAACGCAGAATTGTCATTGTTGGTAAAAAAAATGTAAACATTACAGAGATGATATTTCGATAATTAACTCTGAGATTAAAGTTGTAAATTAATTGCAAAAACGTGTAATTAATTTGAGATTGTGACGAAAAAACCCTACAAACTTACGAGAATTTGTTTTTCTTCTAAACAACCCCCTGCTTTTTTGGGCGACAATGGACCCACTAAAAGTAGTAGAGATGTTTAAATAATAAATACGTTAATTTTTAGTCTAAGTTTTTACATCTGGGTTCAACTTTTCAAAAATGTAGGCAGTTTAAAATGGCCACCGTGTGCAGAGGGTCATGTGACCTGTGCAGAGAGAGCATCACCTCCTCTGATTGGTCAGTCTGCTCTGGAAGGGCCGGACTTTGGACAGGACTTTGTGAGGGGGGGTCGTCATGGTGGTCACACACTTCGTGTTGGCTGGGAGGGGCATTACCGGGGCGATAGTGACTGTGGGCGGAGTCACAGTGGGCGGGGAAGTTGTGGGTGGGGCTTCTATTGTTGTTGTTGTTGTTGTTGTTGTTGTTGTTGAGAGGTTGTCTGTCTCCGGGGCAACAGGGTTGGTCAGCGTTGTTTGGATTTCGGCCCGACGAGCGAGAGCCGTTCTCAGCCTTTCACGCATCTGTTCAATTTCTTCCTGAAGCTCCAGTAGCTCGCCGGGACGGGGCGGGGCTACAACTACAGGGGGCGGAGCTACAACGATAGGGGGCGGGGCATTAGTCCGGGCAGCTGATTGTCGGGAGAGCACCAGACTTGCTAGCGACGCCGCTGGACCTCCGTTAGCAACAAGTCTGCTGTTTGGCCCCGTGTTTGGCCCCGTTTTTTGCCCAAATATTGGCCCACATTTTGGCCCCGTGTTTGGTTTGGCAGGCCCCTCCCCCTCAGGTTTGGATTTGGCGTCGGAGGCGGCCATGCGGGCGAGGAGGCGCCGCGTGTTGAGCGTCTCCAGGTGGAAGTGGACTCGTTTGAAGTCTCGCACGTCGTTAGCAACGGCGGCAGCGTCCTCGTTGTTCCACCTGGTCGCAACACCGGGGGGTCCCGGGGGTCCTGGGGGTCCTGGGGGGGGCGGGGGCTTCTCCAGGTTACAGCTGGACACAAACAGAGAGGCCTTTGTGAAATTAAGTTATTAAGAAACCACTGTCTGAGTAGAAGCTACATTTATATATTTCTTTCTGTCTCTTTACTGTTGCTCTAACACTGTAAACGTCCCCTCTGTGGGGCTAACTAAGGTATTCTGATTTATTAACTTTTATTAACTTTTTTATTTCAGTGTTGATGTTTTTTTCCCTGTTTGATTGGACAAAGCCTTCACTACATTTTAAAAACAAATTAAAACCTTTTAAATCTATAATATAATAACGAACCTCTTCTCTTTCTCTGCACGCTGACGCTTCACGTCTTCATACGTCATGTTCAGAGCGCGGTGGATTTTCTGTTAAACAAGAAACAAAACATTTTTATATGATCTGATTCTCATCAACAGAAGCACAGATGTGTCAGTGCATGTACATGTTCTGCAAAGGCCAAAATCCCTGTGTTCCCCAGAGATCCCTCATTTTTTTTTAAATATCTCAGAATTCCGTTTTTTTCATACAATTCTAGCTTTATTCAGAAAATGTCAGAATTCGGAATTTGTTCTCCAAATTCTCACTCAGATTTTTCACAAAATCTGACTTATTATTGTACATCTCAGAATTGTGACTGCTTTCTGAAATTGAAGCATTTTTTCAGAAAATCTCAAAATCCTGACTTTTTTCAAAAAATCTCACTTTTAAATGTTTTTAATTAAAATTCTCACTTCTGAGAACTCAACATTCTGACTTTTACATTTTTGTCAAAATTCAAGTCGTTTTTTTCTCAGAATTGTGAATCCTTAATGAAGATGTTGACTTTTTTGTAAAAAATTCTAACTTTTTTGTCAAAATCTGATTTTTTTTTGTCAAAATTTCGGATTTTTTGATAAAAAAACGAAATTTAAAATGTTTGACTTTTGTCTCAAAATCTCAAATCTGATTTATTTTCTGAAAATCTCAGAATTCTGACTTTTTTTCAGATCATTTTAATTTTTTTCTCGAAAAATATGAATTTTTCTGAAAACCTCAAAATGTTGATTTATTGGGCAAAATCTCAGAATTCTGACTTTTTTCTGAAATTCTGAAAATGTAATTGTGAGATACACCTGAACAGCAGCAGAATAGGGCTTCTGAATCAGTAATCATTATAAATCAGTAATAATCCGAGTTACCTGTGAGGTGTGCAGCCAGTACTTGAGGTTCTGCCGGCGCCGGATGTGAGGCAGAACCAGCTGGTAGAACCCGTGTTCCCCGACCAGCGTGAGCAGCGCCCCCCCCACGCCGACACACAGCATCAGGAACAGGCCCGAGAAGTGGCTGATGCCCATCTGAAGCGTCTGAGGGGGGAACACGTGAGTATCATATATTTAATATAGCATAATAAGATAAGATAGAACTTAATTGATCCCAATTTGGGAAATGTTTGTGTTGCAGCAGCATAAAAAGACATGGCATTGTACAATACAAATTCAAAAGACTAGAAATAAACAAGAAAGTAGAAAATATACATGTTGAATTTACAAATTAACAAAAAACAAAACTGTAATGTGATTTATATAATATAATGAATATATGTGTTAGCTGACTGTCGTGTCAAATGATCATATAATCATTTAAAACATATAGTCTTATACTCTGATTGCCTTTTACTCTGTTAAATTGTATTTTCAGTCTTGTATGTGTTTAACAGAGACATATGTTAAAGTGGACCTATCATGGTATATTTAAATGATATATTGTAGGGCCATACCTATATAAGGTATATTTATACGTTTCTGTTTTCAAAATACCAAACAGATCATGCATTTTAGCCATGCCTCATTTTGCTCAATTTGCACTTTTTTTTAGCTCTGCTCTGCAAGGGCAGATTCAGTGAGAACAGCACCACCTACAGGCCTGGCATATGTACTACAGCGTCTCCAGCGCTTTCGAACGGCAATGGCCGTGGCTGTCTCCTCCTGATTGGTGGAGTTGGCCCAATAGCCGTAGCGCCACCGTCCTGACGTCAGGACAGTGTTCAAATCTGGATCAGTTTTTATCAGATCCGTTGCAGCCCCTTTTTTAGAGATTTGGGTATGGAGGAAAATAGAGAGGGTTGTGTTTTCTGACACTTGTGGCGCGTTTCCACTACACGGCCTCGCTCGGCCCCGCTCGGTATGGCTGGGCCTCGTTAAGACTGGCTCACTTTATGGCGCATTTCCATTACAGTTTAGGAACTGGGGTAGTATCTATAGTAACGCAGTGTAGGCGGAGCCGTGACGTGATCTTCAATGAGAACCCCAGAAAAACAACACAGCCGTTAGCTGTTAGCACTCAGAGCTCACAGCTCCTCATATCTGTTCAGAAACTAGACAAAAGTTAAACAAGTACAAACCACAGACTGCCTGTGTCATGGTGAATACAGTCGCTGCTTTATTTATGTCTGTATAGGCCGTTGTTGTGAGTGTGGACGGTCGGAGCATATACTGCGTTAGCTTAGCCAATCTCCATTTAGAAAACACGCATTTTAAAAGGTGTTTCGCCTGCCGTCTGTCTGCAGACTTGTCAAAGCATTAATTCATGGTTTATACTAACCGGTATCAGTATGTTGTTACTTCGGCATCATTTTGAAACGTGTATTACAATTAAATCACGGTCAAATATGTCCATCTTGTTGTAGTTGTAGCCCTCTTGCCAGCGATGCTCTCTCTAGTTTAGCATACTCAGCCCGACTCAGCCTCGTTGTCTCTGGCCCTAGACCCACGATTTTATGAGGCCAGAAAAACTGTGAATTAGGACCCGCCGGCCGGTACTAGGCCAAGTGGAAACGCAACCAAAGACGGGCCGCTGACGTCACAGCCCTCTTAAACCGTGCTCCGCGCTGTAGTGGAAACGCGCCATTAGTGAGTTCCCTAGAACACCGGGGACACATATTCATGTATAAAAGACGTACAAAAGTGCATTTTGCATGATAGGTCCCCTTTAAGGATTTACATTTCAGGAGGTAAAGGAAGTAAAAGGTGGATTCAAATGGTTAAGGACGAGGGGGTTTAATGGTTTAATGATGGGATGGAGGAGCAGCTGTTTCCTCTCATGAATATACAGAGGGACTGTCAGCAGAACTTCTTTCTCCTCTGAGGATGCTGCTCCATTTCACTTGGATACTTTATTACTTTGATCAGTTTCTCTGAAGAGTTTCCTCCACACTGACCTCGGTGACGGCGAACACGCGGTTTCCACAGGGAACCACTTTGTACCATTTATCGTGCAGAAGATCCATAAAACCCTCAGACTTGTATCTGCTGATCATGTCGGAAATATTGGACGTCAAGGGCGAGTTCTGCGGCAGGCCGATACCATAACCTGGAATACATCATAAACATATATATTATATATAAATAACAACAGGCCGATACCATAACCTGGAATACATCATAAACATATATATTATATATAAATAACAACAGGCCGATACCATAACCTGGAATACATCATAAACATATATATTATATATAAATAACAACAGGCCGATACCATAACCTGAAATAAATAGATAAAATAATTATGAAATAAATAATAACAAATATATGACAAACTACAGGCCCAAAACATAAACCATAATAAATAATAAAAACATTTAATGATATACAATCAAAGTCAGACAGATAACCTGTAATAAACACATCAAATGAATAATTTGATAACATGACATAAAAGAATATGAATAAGTAATACATAAAAAACTCTAAAATACAAACCAATATATCACCGAACAATGTATTACAACACTTAAGAATATTATTATTATTGTTATTTTTGTTTTATTATGACTTTTTTTTTCGTCTGTAGGCTGGATATATTTTTTATAAATATTGAAATATATATATTCTGACAGTGGAGATGTGAGGATGATGAAACTGTATGAAACAAAAAGCTGAGAGGAAGTGATCTGCAGATCAACCCAGAGAGCGAGACGTGTCTGAACTCAGGAACATTCAAACATTTACAGAAACAATAAAGTGTTGAAGTTACTCAGAATAATAAACGGTTTTTGGAGCTTTCTGGTGAATATATCTAGTTAGTGTTTCTAGTTAATATATCTAGTTAATGTCTCTGGTTAATGTCTCTGGTTAATGTCTCTGGTTAGTGTCTCTAGTTAATATATCTAGTTAATGTCTCTGGTTAATATATCTAGTTAATGTCTCTAGTTAGTGTCTCTAGTTAATGTCTCTGGTTAATATATCTAGTTAGTGTCTCTGGTTAATGTCTCTGGTTAATATATCTAGTTAATGTCTCTGGTTAGTGTCTCTAGTTAATATATCTAGTTAATGTCTCTGGTTAATGTCTCTAGTTAATATATCTAGTTAATGTCTCTGGTTAATATATCTAGTTAATGTCTCTGGTTAATATATCTAGTTAGTGTCTCTAGTTAGTGTCTCTAGTTAATGTCTCTAGTTCATATATCTAGTTAATGTCTCTGGTTAATATATCTAGTTAATGTCTCTAGTTAATATATCTAGTTAATGTCTCTGGTTAATGTCTCTAGTTAATATATCTAGTTAATGTCTCTGGTTAATATATCTAGTTAATGTCTCTGGTTAATATATCTAGTTAGTGTCTCTAGTTAGTGTCTCTAGTTAATGTCTCTAGTTCATATATCTAGTTAATGTCTCTGGTTAATATATCTAGTTAATGTCTCTGGTTAATATATCTAGTTAATATATCTAGTTAGTGTCTCTAGTTAGTGTCTCTGGTTAATGTCTCTAGTTAATATATCTAGTTAATGTCTCTGGTTAATATATCTAGTTAATGTCTCTGGTTAATGTCGCTGGTTAATGTCTCTGGTTAATATATCTAGTTAATGTCTCTGGTTAATGTCTCTAGTTAATATATCTAGTTAATGTCTCTGGTTAATGTCTCTGGTTAATATATCTAGTTAATGTCTCTGGTTAATGTCTCTAGTTAATATATCTAGTTAATGTCTCTGGTTAATGTCTCTGGTTAATATATCTAGTTAGTGTCTCTAGTTAGTGTCTCTGGTTAATGTCTCTGGTTAATATATCTAGTTAGTGTCTCTAGTTAATGTCTCTCGTTAATATATCTAGTTAATGTCTCTGGTTAATGTCTCTAGTTAATATATCTAGTTAATGTCTCTGGTTAATATATCTAGTTAATGTCTCTGGTTAATGTCTCTAGTTAATATATCTAGTTAATGTCTCTGGTTAATGTCTCTGGTTAATATATCTAGTTAGTGTCTCTAGTTAGTGTCTCTGGTTAATGTCTCTGGTTAATATATCTAGTTAGTGTCTCTAGTTAATGTCTCTCGTTAATATATCTAGTTAATGTCTCTGGTTAATATATCTAGTTAGTGTCTCTAGTTAATATATCTAGTTAGTGTCTCTAGTTAGTGTCTCTGGTTAATGTCTCTGGTTAATATATCTAGTTAATGTCTCTGGTTAATATATCTAGTTAGTGTCTCTAGTTAGTGTCTCTGGTTAATGTCTCTGGTTAATGTCTCTGGTTAATGTCTCTAGTTAATGTCTCTGGTTAATATATCTAGTTAATGTCTCTGGTTAATATATCTAGTTAATATATCTAGTTAATATATCTAGTTAGTGTCTCTGGTTAATATATCTAGTTAGTGTTACTGGTTAATCTCAGAGGTAATCTCACCTTCGATGGCGAATGGTTTCCCGACGGTTGCCAGTTTACAGTCGGCGTCGATGGAGACCTCGTAATCCAGCAGAGCTTTATCCATGATGAAGGCATCGAGCTGGGGGGGATCTGTCCTTCAACACACAGCAACAGCATTAATATGGCAACTATAGGGAGCAACAACTACTGCGACTACAGAGAGGAACTACTGCAACTACAGAGAGGAACTACTGCAACTACAGAGAGGAACTACTGCAACTAGAGAGAGGAACTACTGCAACTAGAGAGAGGAACTACTGCAACTACGGAGAGGAACTACTGCAACTACAGAGAGGAACTACTGCAACTAGAGAGAGGAACTACTGCAACTAGAGAGAGGAACTACTGCAACTACAGAGAGGAACTACTGCGACTACAGAGAGGAACTACTGCAACTACTGAGAGGAACTACTGCAACTACAGAGAGGAACTACTGCGACTACAGAGAGGAACTACTGCAACTACTGAGAGGAACTACTGCAACTACAGAGAGGAACTACTGCGACTACAGAGAGGAACTACTGCAACTACAGAGAGGAACTACTGCAACTAGAGAGAGGAACTACTGCAACTACAGAGAGGAACTACTGCAACTAGAGAGAGGAACTACTGCAACTACAGAGAGGAACTACTGCAACTACAGAGAGGAACTACTGCAACTACTGAGAGGAACTACTGCAACTACAGAGAGGAACTACTGCAACTACAGAGAGGAACTACTGCAACTACTGAGAGGAACTACTGCAACTACAGAGAGGAACTACTGCAACTACTGAGAGGAACTACTGCAACTACAGAGAGGAACTACTGCAACTACAGAGAGGAACTACTGCAACTACTGAGAGGAACTACTGCAACTACAGAGAGGAACTACTAACTGGTTCTCTGTAGTTCTCTGTAGTTCTCTGTAGTTCTCTGTAGTTCTCTGTAGTTCTCTGTGGTTCTCTGTGGTTCTCTTTGGTTCTCTGTGGTTCACTTACTTGAGATTGCCGACCCCCTCAGGCGTCGTCGGCTCGTTGAAGCGTCTCATGTACTCGTGCATTTCTGGAAAACTCTTCTTCATATAATCCTCGGCGCTGCTCTCCCTCACCGTCCCAAAGCGAAACCCCCGAGACGGGTGGTGCAGCTGAAACACCAACGAAGAAGAAGGAGGAGAAGGAGGAAGAGGAGGAGGAAGAGGAGGAAGTAGAAGAGGAAGAGGAGGTGATTAACAGATCTCATATCAGCGTCAGAAACAGTGAACACTTCTCTGAGTAATTATTGTTCTGATGCGTGATGCTTTTATTCAGGGAGAAATATAACGGTGTTTATTCCCCGCTTAAAGTATTCATGAAATAAACAACCTTTGAAAAATGATGTTGACGTGAGAATAAATTCAGGAAGAAGCCCCCCGGTGTGAGGAGGAGCCTTTCAGAAAGAGAAACAACTCAGCTCTATAAACATATTAACATAGTGTTTAAAATGCACTGACAATATACAGCGCTAACAGAGAGCTAGTGCTAACTGGAGAGGTACTCATATCCTTCACCGAAGTAAAAGTACAATTATCTGATTTCACAACATCATTTAAAGGTCACCTATCATGCTATTTGTAGGCAATAGCATAGGTCTCAGATATATGAAAATATATAGAAAACATGTCTATGAAGTGTTTTGCTCAAAATACCAAACAGATCACCCATTCTAGCCATGCCTCATATCCCTCTATTTCACTTCCTGTTTCTAAAGTGCTGATTTTGGGAATAAAGCTTTAAAAAAAAAAAAAAAAGGAGGGGGCTGAGCTCATGCGGGACCCGGCAGCAACTGTCCAAACCAGTGGTTCTCAACTGGTGGGTCGCGACCCAAAAGTGGGTCGCGGACCCGTTTCGAGTGGGTCGCAGATGTGTCAGTGAAGAAAAAAAAATAGAAAGAAAAATAGAAAAAAAAAATATTTACTTTTTTTTTTTTGGGAAAAAAGTCAAACTTTTATTTTGAAGGCCCGATTTTCTAACGCTGTGCATGCAGTAGGCGCAGGGCTGGAAGTACCGGAGACCATACACGGTTTTGAAAACTACTGTCACGTAGTGATCATCTTCTCAATAAAACATCTTTGCTGATGTTTTTTCGAGTCTTCTGGCCAATCAGAATCAAGATGGTTGCCGGAAGTCCCCACGGAGAATAACTGCGGTAGAACTATTCTTTATACATCCATGGGTACAACTTCAGATAAAAATGAACACATAATGAAATATGACCCCCGGTTTGATGACTGACAGCTCACAGAACAATGGGGGCTATCTACCCTTACCCACAAAGTAAAGTAATTCAGACAATCTCCTCTTTGCTCTTCTCTCTGTGAGGAGCAGCAAGCTGTCAGAACTAAGTGAAAAACAAACAATGGCATAAAATATTATTAATATGTCGGGTAGTAATAGATTTATTTATTTTCTTCTCAGAGTGTACCAGAATGCTTAGTTTATATGTTAGTATTTCAAAAAATCTCCTGGGGGAGAATCCCCCCAGACCCCCTGCTGGGGTTGGGTTTTCAGCATGTGGGCCTTTTCATGTTAGTTCAGCTTTGATTCCATTATCTCATTAAACCTTTTTTAAAAGCATACTTTAGTTCTGTGAAGGGATATAAGGGATGCACTGTACTTCACTTTCATTAATAATGTATGCTGAAAAGCGTATATATTACTGCACGATCTATTGTTGAATAGATTTGAGTGGTTCAAAATTTCGGGTCGCGATCTATTGACTAAGGAAAAAGTGGGTCCTGAGGCCTGACCAGTTGAGAATCACTGGTCTAAACTAAATGCTGCCGTGGTGAAACGCCATATCATGGATTATCAAGGATTATTTCTGAAACAGTATGGAGCTCAAAGGCTTTCTCTCTTGCCGGTTATACCACAAGGTGAGTTCCTTTTTATTTCCTGCTTCTTCACACACATGCTCTCCAGTACAGGTTAGCTCTGAGTGTTAGCAATGTTAATGTGAACACAGACCATATTACGTCCAAAACAGTCGGGCATTGTTTCTGATAGCAACGTTTCTGATTGGGTTCAGGTGTTCATGCGTTCACCAAAGACTATCAACATTGTGAACAAATGTTCTTTAAAGGGGACCTATCATGCAAAATGCACTTGTGTACGTCTTTTCTACATGAATATGTGTCCCCGGTGTTCCAGGGAACTCACCAAGTGTCAGAAAACACAACCCTCTCTATTTTCCTCCATACCCAAATCTCTAAAAAAGGGGCTGCAACGGATCTGATAAAAACTGATCCAGATTTGAACACTGTCCTGACGTCAGGACGGTGGCACTACGGCTATTGGGCCAACTCCACCAATCAGGAGGAGACAGCCACGGCCATTGCCGTTCCAAAGCGCTGGAGATGCTGTAGTACATATGCCAGGCCTGTAGATGGTGCTGTTCTCACAGAATCAGCCCTTGCAAACACAGAGCTAAAAAAGTGCAAATTGAGCAAAATGAGGCATGGCTAAAATGCATGATCTGTTTGGTATTTTGAAAAAAAAAAAGTATAAATATGCCTTATATAGGTATGGTCCTACACTATATTATTATAATATAGCATGATAGGTCCACTTTAAGTAAAAAACTGAGGCTCTCCTGATTGAAATGTACTTCAAGTGTCAAAGCAAAAGTACTCGTCCTTGGGCAAGACACTTCACCTGAATTTGCTCCTGTGGGTATTGTCCACAGTACATGACCATTACATGTATGTCTGATATGTATGTGTAATGTGTATCTGTAAAGCGCTTTGGGTCATGGAAAAAGCGCTATAATAAATATAAGGAATTATTAGTCATTGTGCAGACTTCTTTATTTTATCCCGTTTTAAACCTGTAAGAGCATTTTAGTATTATAGTAGGTCAATGTGGACCCAATTTACTTACTTCAAATACTGTGTCGTTAAGTATCATATCATGTGTTTATATGTGTACAAAGTAACTGTTAATGGTCAATAAATGTAGTAAAAAGTACAATATTTGCCTCTGAAATGTAGAGGAGAAGAAGTATAAAGTAGCAATAAATGGAAATACTCAAGTAAAGTACACGTACCTCAAAAAAGTACTTAAGTACATACTGCAGTTATGGTCTGTAGCTGTGTGTGTATGCATTAAACATAATGCAGTCTTTGAAATATTTCTGAACCATGACTGGAGGGAGCAGAGTTTCTGCTGTCTCTACACATTAAAAATTAAAAGCTAATCACATACAGATGGACGTCCAATTAAAGTCCCAGCAGCCCCAGCTCAGCGCCTCCATTAAAAGTGTAATTAGGACTCTGCAGGTTATCCAGAGAACACATTTAATCTGTAATTACATCTCAGCAGGAAGAGAGAGATCGGACGTTTCTATCAGCGACCTCTTTATACCAAATAATATATTATCATTCTGCTGTTTGATGATGTCACAACTGATCAGCCAATAGCAAGGAGGACTCAGATCTTAAGTTAAAGCAGAAGTACTCAGATCTTGTACTTGAGTAAAAGTAGAAGTACTCAAAGACAGAGGGTTTTATTTTCTGACACTTAGTGAGTCTCCTGACACACCGGGGACACATATTGATGTATAAAAGACATCAAAAAGTGCATTTTGCATGATAGGTCCCCTTTAAAGAGTTTCTGAGATCTCACCTTGGCGTCGTGGATCCCTGACACCTCCTCGAAGGTCTTCTCTCCCACCATGACGGCGGCCAGGTTCGCCGTGTAGCTGGACAGCACCAGCAGGCAGAAGATGGCCCACAGGTTCATCAGGAATCGACTCGTCCAGCACTTCGGCGGCTTGGAGGACACGGTGCGTCCGAACAGGATGGCGTAGCACAGGTTCAGCGCCGACGAGTACGAGAACACTCTGATTCTGTTCCTCCCGTGAGGCGTCATCCCGTACGGACTCTTCCACTCGTACAGTGTGAGGAACAGCGCTGTGATGTGCAGCGCCACGAAGATCCCCACCCACATGGACCAGTGCAAGGGCCACATGAAGGCCCCCATGGGTGCCGCTGTGTCTTTACTACGCACCAGGATGCCCAGGCTGGTGGAGAAGAAGGGCGAGGTGAAGTCGATGACGCGGCTACGAGCTGAGTTGATGCTAAAAGAAGTGGCGGCCATATCTGCCAAACCATTCATCAAATCGCCAACAAGCCCCGTCCAGCGACCTCCTTTCCAGGCGCCGTATTTTCCATCTCCGACGACATACAAGTCAAACTGGAAGTCCAAATCCTCTGCAAGTTTCTCCAACAAGTCGATGCAGTAACCGTAGCAGCATCGTCCGAATCCAGCGGGTAAAAAGCTGCTGTTTCCTCCTGCAACCTCCCTGAAGATCCGCTCCAGAACCTCAGAGCTGTTTGTCCCCGCGTCCAAACAGAACTGACCCGCCGGACAGCTTCCCTCCTCGTCCACATCCCGCGTGAACACGAAGGGATGCTCCACCAGCGTCACCACCCGGACTCTGGTACCGGATACTGGTAACCCGGGTTTCCAGGGGGTTCTGAAGAGATACAGAGTACACACATCCTTTACTCAAGTAGAAGTACACGCATCCTTTACTCAAGTAGAAGTACACACATCCTTTACTCAAGTAGAAGTACACACATCCTTTACTCAAGTAGAAGTACACACATCCTTTACTCAAGTAGAAGTACACACATCCTTTACTCAAGTAGAAGTACAGATACTTGTGTTTAAAAATACTCTGGTGAAAGTAGAAGTACTGACTAAACTTCTTTACTCAAGTAAAAGTAAAAAGAACTTTGAAATGTACTTCAGTAAAAAGTACCCATAACTAGCAGCTGTTTTAAAGAGTACCTGACCTCCCTTTATATTAATAGAACAATAATGTCATTGTTAGCTAATGAATGTTTCCATGCTGAACAACGGCAACATGACAACGTTTTCATTGGTCCCTCTTCTTTAGAGAAGACCAGGAAATGATGGATACACGGATCGTGTTCAAATCAATAGGCACGCAATGACTCTAAATAATAATGATCACGCCACCAGACACACATTCAAACTAAAGGAACCAGCCTGTTTGGGAAATGTGAGAAGTAGAAAGTACAGGTATTTGGGTTCAACATGTAAGAAGTAGAAAGTACAGGTATTTGTGTTCAACATGTAAGAAGTAGAAAGTACAGGTATTTGTGTTCAACATGTAAGAAGTAGAAAGTACAGGTATTTGGGTTCAACATGTAAGAAGTAGAAAGTACAGGTATTTGTGTTCAAAATGTAAGAAGTAGAAAGTACAGGTATTTGTGTTCAACATGTAAGAAGTAGAAAGTACAGGTATTTGTGTTCAACATGTAAGAAGTAGAAAGTACAGGTATTTGTGTTCAACATGTAAGAAGTAGAAAGTACAGGTATTTGTGTTCAACATGTAAGAAGTAGAAAGTACAGGTATTTGTGTTCAACATGTAAGAAGTAGAAAGTACAGGTATTTGTGTTCAAAATGTAAGAAGTAGAAACTACAGGTATTTGTGTTCAACATGTAAGAAGTAGAAAGTACAGGTATTTGGGTTCAACATGTAAGAAGTAGAAAGTACAGGTATTTGTGTTCAACATGTAAGAAGTAGAAAGTACAGGTATTTGTGTTCAACATGTAAGAAGTAGAAAGTACAGGTATTTGTGTTCAAAGTGTAAGAAGTAGAAAGTACAGGTATTTGTGTTCAAAATGTAAGAAGTAGAAAGTACAGGTATTTGTGTTCAAAATGTAAGAAGTAGAAAGTACAGGTATTTGTGTTCAAAATGTAAGAAGTAGAAAGTACAGGTATTTGTGTTCAAAATGTAAGAAGTAGAAAGTACAGGTATTTGTGTTCAAAATGTAAGAAGTAGAAAGTACAGGTATTTGTGTTCAAAATGTAAGAAGTAGAAACTACAGGTATTTGTGTTCAAAGTGTAAGAAGTAGAAAGTACAGGTATTTGTGTTCAAAATGCAAGAAGTAGAAACTACAGGTATTTGTGTTCAACATGTAAGAAGTAGAAAGTACAGGTATTTGTGTTCAACATGTAAGAAGTAGAAAGTACAGGTATTTGTGTTCAACATGTAAGAAGTAGAAAATTCAGGTATTTGTGTTCAAAATGTAAGAAGTAGAAAGTACAGGTATTTGTGTTCAAAATGTAAGAAGTAGAAAGTACAGGTATTTGTGTTCAACATGTAAGAAGTAGAAAGTACAGGTATTTGTGTTCAACATGTAAGAAGTAGAAAGTACAGGTATTTGTGTTCAACATGTAAGAAGTAGAAAGTACAGGTATTTGTGTTCAACATGTAAGAAGTAGAAAGTACAGGTATTTGTGTTCAACATGTAAGAAGTAGAAAGTACAGGTATTTGTGTTCAAAATGTAAGAAGTAGAAACTACAGGTATTTGTGTTCAACATGTAAGAAGTAGAAAGTACAGGTATTTGGGTTCAACATGTAAGAAGTAGAAAGTACAGGTATTTGTGTTCAAAGTGTAAGAAGTAGAAAGTACAGGTATTTGTGTTCAAAATGTAAGAAGTAGAAAGTACAGGTATTTGTGTTCAAAATGTAAGAAGTAGAAAGTACAGGTATTTGTGTTCAAAATGTAAGAAGTAGAAAGTACAGGTATTTGTGTTCAAAATGTAAGAAGTAGAAAGTACAGGTATTTGTGTTCAAAATGTAAGAAGTAGAAACTACAGGTATTTGTGTTCAAAGTGTAAGAAGTAGAAAGTACAGGTATTTGTGTTCAAAATGTAAGAAGTAGAAACTACAGGTATTTGTGTTCAACATGTAAGAAGTAGAAAGTACAGGTATTTGTGTTCAACATGTAAGAAGTAGAAAGTACAGGTATTTGTGTTCAACATGTAAGAAGTAGAAAGTTCAGGTATTTGTGTTCAACATGTAAGAAGTAGAAAGTACAGGTATTTGTGTTCAACATGTAAGAAGTAGAAAGTACAGGTATTTGTGTTCAACATGTAAGAAGTAGAAAGTACAGGTATTTGTGTTCAACATGTAAGAAGTAGAAAGTACAGGTATTTGTGTTCAAAATGTAAGAAGTAGAAAGTACAGGTATTTGTGTTCAAAATGTAAGAAGTAGAAAGTACAGGTATTTGTGTTCAAAATGTAAGAAGTAGAAAGTACAGGTATTTGTGTTCAAAATGTAAGAAGTAGAAAGTACAGGTATTTGTGTTCAAAATGTAAGAAGTAGAAAGTACAGGTATTTGTGTTCAAAATGTAAGAAGTAGAAACTACAGGTATTTGTGTTCAAAGTGTAAGAAGTAGAAAGTACAGGTATTTGTGTTCAAAATGCAAGAAGTAGAAACTACAGGTATTTGTGTTCAACATGTAAGAAGTAGAAAGTACAGGTATTTGTGTTCAACATGTAAGAAGTAGAAAGTACAGGTATTTGTGTTCAACATGTAAGAAGTAGAAAATTCAGGTATTTGTGTTCAAAATGTAAGAAGTAGAAAGTACAGGTATTTGTGTTCAAAATGTAAGAAGTAGAAAGTACAGGTATTTGTGTTCAACATGTAAGAAGTAGAAAGTACAGGTATTTGTGTTCAACATGTAAGAAGTAGAAAGTACAGGTATTTGTGTTCAACATGTAAGAAGTAGAAAGTACAGGTATTTGTGTTCAACATGTAAGAAGTAGAAAGTACAGGTATTTGTGTTCAACATGTAAGAAGTAGAAAGTACAGGTATTTGTGTTCAAAATGTAAGAAGTAGAAACTACAGGTATTTGTGTTCAACATGTAAGAAGTAGAAAGTACAGGTATTTGGGTTCAACATCTAAGAAGTAGAAAGTACAGGTATTTGTGTTCAAAGTGTAAGAAGTAGAAAGTACAGGTATTTGTGTTCAAAATGTAAGAAGTAGAAAGTACAGGTATTTGTGTTCAAAATGTAAGAAGTAGAAAGTACAGGTATTTGTGTTCAAAATGTAAGAAGTAGAAAGTACAGGTATTTGTGTTCAAAATGTAAGAAGTAGAAAGTACAGGTATTTGTGTTCAAAATGTAAGAAGTAGAAACTACAGGTATTTGTGTTCAAAGTGTAAGAAGTAGAAAGTACAGGTATTTGTGTTCAAAATGTAAGAAGTAGAAACTACAGGTATTTGTGTTCAACATGTAAGAAGTAGAAAGTACAGGTATTTGTGTTCAACATGTAAGAAGTAGAAAGTACAGGTATTTGTGTTCAACATGTAAGAAGTAGAAAGTTCAGGTATTTGTGTTCAAAATGTAAGAAGTAGAAAGTACAGGTATTTGTGTTCAAAGTGTAAGAAGTAGAAACTACAGGTATTTGTGTTCAACATGTAAGAAGTAGAAAGTACAGGTATTTGTGTTCAACATGTAAGAAGTAGAAACTACAGGTATTTGTGTTCAACATGTAAGAAGTAGAAAGTACAGGTATTTGTGTTCAACATGTAAGAAGTAGAAAGTACAGGTATTTGTGTTCAACATGTAAGAAGTAGAAACTACAGGTATTTGTGTTCAACATGTAAGAAGTAGAAACTACAGGTATTTGTGTTCAACATGTAAGAAGTAGAAAGTACAGGTATTTGTGTTCAACATGTAAGAAGTAGAAACTACAGGTATTTGTGTTCAACATGTAAGAAGTAGAAAGTACAGGTATTTGTGTTCAACATGTAAGAAGTAGAAAGTTCAGGTATTTGTGTTCAACATGTAAGAAGTAGAAAGTACAGGTATTTGTGTTCAAAATGTAAGAAGTAGAAAATACAGGTATTTGTGTTAGAAATGTAAGAAGTCAAAGTAAAAAGTCTATAAGAGTATTTGTACTCAACTACTTCCCACCTCTGACGGTAGGAAATGGTATACACTTCCTAGACGTCTAAATGTAAGAAGTCAAAGTAAAAAGTCTATAAGAATCAGAAACAGGTTTATCACCAGGTAGGTTCACACGTACGAGGAATTTGACTTGGTGTCATGGTGCATACATAAAAATAAAAAACAGATAGCGAACCATATTAAGAACACTGTAATAAAAATATAGTAAGATAGCAATAAAATAAAGCAGTAATTTACATTGAAATAGAATACAATAAAATATAGAATATAAAATATGTGCAGTAAGCAAGGTAATAAGAGTATTTGTACTGCACTCCTCCCCACCTCTGTGTTCTGGCGCCCCCTCCCTCAGGTCTGGGGGGGGGTCTGGGTCCCTGCCAGGCGCCCTGCTCCTCCACCTGGAGACGCCCCCCTTCCCAGCGGCCCACCGTCACCCAGGCCGGCTGCCCCACTGCGTCCCTCCGGAGGCTCCAGACGTGGAACCGCTGATCCGTGAGCACCTGGTTCTGAAGGACCCGGACCGGACCCGTCAGACCAGTGAAGGACGTGTTGGACAGGAAGCTGTGGGAGATAGGAAGTACAGGTAGTTACGAGTATTGGGATCTTATATTTTATCCCATTATTCTTTAATGTTATTATAGTGTTCTTAAAAAAGTTAAAGTAGTGTTTTTTAATTTTTGTTTTAAGTCAAATTCCTAGTACGTGTCAACCTACCTGGTAATAAACCTGATTCTGATTCTGATCTTGTACTTGAGTAAAAGTAGAAGTACTAACGTTACTACTGTTAATGTTAATTTGTATAATTTTTGTATTTTATTGTATCTTTTACATATTTTTAACTAGCATGATAACATTATTGTTTTAACTGGCGGTAAACAACCTGTCTCAAAATGAGCTGATCAGATTTTGGCCACTTGATGATGTCATAACAATGTTTTGTCTTGTGTAACCATTAGCCAATCACCAACCAAGGTAACCCCCCCCCCTTATCACCTGAATCTCCTCCTAGAGCACCATTGAGTTCTTTGTAACCAAATCTCTCTTAGAGGGGCGTGGGGAGGGGCTCCTTATTTTCATCTGAAGTAACAGACTCCGGGTGTTTCTCAATCTCGAGTACGCTTGCTTGGTAGCACATGTCTGCCGAGCATCTTGCTTCAGAAGCGAGTCAAGAATACTTCCTGGCATTCGGAAAACAAAGAGTGGAACACGCTAGCAAGTGTGCAGGTGTGCGTCATATGAGAGGCCCCGCCTCTTACATCTTCCGCCACAGATTTGGGGAAATTGGTCCGTGCGCAAAGCATTGTGGGGATTTTAAGACCGCGGAGTCTACTCATGTGCAGCCTCGATATTTCTCCAAACGGAGTACGCCGGGCTCGGTAGATTTCCAAGTATGCTGGAGATTGGAACAGTACTTCGGCGGCACTCGATGACGTAGTATGCTTGAAATAGTGGCTCTGAAGCAGCTTTACTCGCGATTGAGAAACACCCAGAGAATCAGCACTTTGGAAACAGGGCTGAAACAGAGGGGATTATGGGTAATGCTGCAATGATCTGTTTGGTGTTTCAGCCAATCAGAGACAGGTTCTGTATATATCTGACACATGTGATATATTGACGATAAACAGTATAATAGGGGACCTTTAAGTACATTTCAAAGCCCAAACTTCTTAACTTGAGTAAAGAAGTTTAGTCAATACTTCAGCTTTTACCACAGTAGTTTTAAACACAAGTATCTGTACTTCCTCTTGACTGAAGGATGTGTGTTTTGTGAGAGATCTGAAGCAGGACGTACGTCACGGTGAGAGCTCAGCTCAACCTGTGGTCTCATTTATTGATGAACTCTGTTTGTGATCAGAAGTCTGTCGGCAATCTTTATTTCATCTTTATTCTCCGTGCACTCTGTCTCTGCTTTTGTTCTCCAGCTGATAATCCCCCCCGAGCGCTTTATCTCTCGCTGTAATTTCATTTACTGAGAATGTGTTTGATCTTTTCCCGTCTGCGCTGAAAGCAGCAGTTCAATCTTTTTATCCCCCCGAAAAACCTGCAGCACGACTTCTGTCTGTCAAAACTCTGCTGCGTGTTACCAAAGAGTTCATGTTCTCTGCAGATTGAAATGCCTCAGATTTGAATGTTTACTTCAGGTTTAATGTTCCCGGTGATTCCAGGTAGAAACACGCTCACAGTTCCAGGTAACAGATCAAGTTTCCTGATAGGAAAAACGGCCCGCTGTGTATAAAGAAACATCGAACCTGGGGGGGGGTAGAGCATTCTCCATTTCTGGAAGTCACTCCAACAACGAATCAGACTGTCCTGACCCCCCCCCCCCCCCCCCCACCTTCAAAACACTGACCAAAACTCACCTTTTTAGACCAGCTTTTAACGTGTGATTGATGCCGTGTCCTTGTGGTAAATGTGGGTTTATTGCTCCATTTTAATCAGACTTTTTCAATCAATCAAAGTTTATTTATAAAGCCCAATATCACACACTTGACATGTCTCTCAGGGGGCTTTACAGTTTGTACAGAATATGAATAAGATCCCCTCTGTCCTTGGACCCTCACATCGGACAAGGAACCCCTCTGTGGTGTACAGACATTTATTTTAAGTTAATGCATTTAGTTCAATCCTTTGTCTTGTCTTGTGACTCCTCTCGTTTCAGAGCCCTTCCTGACATTGTGTGTTTTCCCTCCAGAGTGATTGTCAGCCCTTAACTGTTTCCACCTGTGTCCCCTTACCTTGTCTGTATATACACCGCAAAAATGTAAAATCTTGCCAAGTATATTTGTCTAATTTCTAGTCAGAATATGTCGTTACACTTGATTTAAGACTTAATACAGTCAAACTCAATTTCATCTCGGGCCACATCAGCATTATGGTTGCACTCAAAGGGCCGGTTGTAACTTTAAGACTATATAAAAATACATATATAAATATTGAATATATATAAACTAATGTATTATATTACATTATTGCCTCTGCATTGGATTATTATCGGATAGGGTAATAACTTCATAATTAACTACGTCTGAAAGCAGAAGTCTAGGGCAAATAATTGCAAGTCTCTTCAGTAAGAATGTCACAAAATGATTTGAAAAGAAAAGCCAAATTCTGTAAAAACATTGATTGTGACATTTTGAAAAAAAAATCTATTTATGAGAAAAAGGCTAATTCTAAGAAAAAAGGCATATTTGGACAAAAAAAGTCAAATTCTGAGAAAAAGTCACATTTGAGATGCATTGTGGGACATGTCGTTTATGGGCAACGTGCTTCTGTAAAGTAGCATGTAACCGTATAATAAACATATTATATTCTTTGCAAGCTCTTGTGGGGCCACAGAAAATGAAGTCGCGGGCCGGATTTGGCCCCCGGGCCTTAAGTTTGACACCCCTGACTTAATAACTTAAGTCTTGTTTTTAGACAAGGCATCTTAAGTATCTTTTTAAGTCAAAGTCTCTTAAAAACATCTTATTTTAGAGGAACATCACCAACTAACATCAGAGAACAGAACATGTCTAAAACATTTCTGCCTTTTTTTGTTACAAATTCCCTGATTCTGGTCAAATATAGTTCAAAATAAGTTTTCCCAGCAGCTAAATACAAGATCTCATTTATCTAATTATCCCATCTTTGGTAAGATTGGTAAGATTCCTTGAAGAAGGGATATTTAGATCAGATCTTGTAATTAACAGGAGAACTCATTTTGAACTATATTTGACCAGAATCAGGAAATGCTGTGTTACAAAATAAGCCTCAAACGTTTTCTGTGTTCTGATGTTAGTTGGTGATTTTCTAATAAATATGTAAAAAACAATATGTGTTTCATCTGAGATACAACTCAAAATAAGATGTTTTGACTCAACAAGATGAAGCATTGTCTAAAAACAAGCGCCTATATCTCACTGCAGTGTTACTCCTGACGTTATGATGTCTTATATCAGGAGGAGAGACATGTTCTGACTAGATGTTAGACATAGGTACTGGGCAAGATTTAGAGATTTCACAGTTAATGAGAGAAACCCCCCCGTTGTGTGTGAATTAAAAAATATAACACATTTACAACATAGGTAGTCCAAATGCTGGAAAATGCATGAGTCTATAAATAAGAAGATTATCACGTCTTTAAAGTCCTGATAAAGCGCTAGATGAATCAAATGTGTTATTATTATGATCCATGCTCAATGACGATGGAGATAGTGAAACACAGATTTGATATGAACATTATTTGTTGGGGTTTCTTCCCTCGTCTCCTCCCGCCTGAGAGGTGAGGGCGGGGGAATCTAGCGCTCCGCTGATAACGGAACATAATTAACATCGTGCGGCAGAAACACTGGGAGTCATTTGGAAACGAGCTGGAGACAAATATGTAAATATTTCACAATTTGTCTCGATTAGAAATGAGTCTCCGACATCTTGTTGTTTATGAGAGAGATTAACAAACCTTTTAGAGGTTATAAAATGGAGTGAGTTTGGAAAAGTGCTGGATAAATAAAGTTGACTTACTGGAGAAGTCATTATAATAAGCAAACAGAGAACTTACACAGAACACTAAGAAACATAAAGCAACTGTTTATTAATAATTAGACTATTTGTCCAGAAACTAGGGTTTAATTTATGGTATTTGATCAAATAAGGGATAATTAGTGGGTTTTTTTAAAGGTCATTTTGGATTAAATATGTGAAATATGCAACTGTTTGTTTCCTCCAGTGTCTACAGAAACCATGAGCGCCTGTTTCAGTGTTTCATTTCATCATTGTGTATTTGTATGTGTAAGAAAAACGTGTATAGATAGACGGCCCCGCCCACTTTCCGCTAAAAACAAAGCATCAGTGCTAAGCGGGAAATATAGTTTCATCACGCCTTAAAGCTGCTGTGTCGTGTATTTCCACGCCAATCAACAAAACAGATCCAGAATTATGTTTTTGTTTACTTTCACTTAAAAAAATGACAATATCTGTGTCTTCATGCTCCACAGAGAGGACGGAGATCAGTCAGTGGGAAACACTTCCTCACAGCTAATGATGCTAATGATGCTAATGCGGCTAACGCCAAGCATCAAAGTAAACAGTTGTAATGTTAAAAGTCAAACTGTAGATGCCGCATTGCAATATAAAACACAGAGAGGGTTAAGTATCCCAGTTTCGGTGTGAGCTGCTTCCTGCCACTGTAAGACTAACCGCACATCCATCCTCTATTGATTTAAATTAAACCATCAATGCAAACTAATCACAGATCTCCAAAGACATGTAACTGTTCAGCATAATTGGGCTCCTTGTAGATAAAAGAGGCGCAGTATTCTTGATGTTTTGATGCGATCAGTGAACACTTGAGAATCTGTATGAACCGCCAGTCTACACATCTTCCATCGCAGACTGAAAGCCCGCCTGCTTCACTTGAACCATGGGAATGAAAAAAGGAGTAGCACTAACAATGATCTTTCTCGTTAGGAGTGAACATATCAACACAGTTCTTGTTGTTCTGAGTTTCAATCCTCGTGGTTTTTGGCACTCTTTGTGAGTCGCTCTGGAGGAAAGCGTCAGCTAAATGCATGGAATCGAATTAATGAATTAGTGGATAATAAATGTTTTCACCTAAAAAGGGGCGGGGCCACGATGTAGAGGGAAAAGTCTACAGATGGGTTTCTCTCATCTATATGACATATAACAATAAATAAAATATCACATACAACAGGATGTTAAATGTGGGGTAGGTAATTCACTTCAGAAACACTTGTTGTTATATTCCATGGAATGCTCTTAACATCCCGATAGCAATAAATATATTAAATGCTTTGACAATAAAAACATGAAAAAAATGTCATCTGTGGAAGCCGTAATACTGTAAAAAGCACGACCAATCATCTGAGCCGGCCCGGCTAAAATAACTGGATGGCCTACCTGCCTGTCAGCCTTCCATCTGAGCACTAACTTATCTCGTGCCCTCATTGGTCATGTGCGCGTTCATGTGTGTTGGAGGAGGGGCTCTGTGAGGAAGAGGCAGATTTTTTTCGGCTGCGTATTTTCAAATTCTAGCGATCTCGAGCTGGTTTCTCCATTCTTACCTACCCTACCTTTAATACAACAGGATGTGTCTTAATGTGTGCATATGTACAAATGTGTCTGTTAATTGTATATATATATATATATATATATAGGTATATACATATATTTGTATAAATATCTTTATATATCTTTGTTATTGTATTCTTGTATTTTGATCTCTCTGTCTGTGAACACAAACTGAAAGATTGACAATTAAGTTGACTTTGATGTTACCTGGACAGGTACGGCCCTGAGGTCTGCAGCGCCTCCTTGTGATCGAAGCAGTTGACGTGGTTCTGGATCAGAGCCCGTTCGGGTCTCAGCAGAACCGCAGCAGCGATGGCGCGTCGGACCAGCTGCAGGGCGTCTCGCACGTAGAAGTCGAGCGGGTTCTGCTCCACCGGGCCGTAGGCCAGCAGACCCAGAGGCAGCCCGATGTTCTGCAGAGCCTCAGGGCTGAGAGGCTGACCCAACACCCAGTGCATCATGGGTAATGTGAGGCCCAGGTCCTGAGCGCCGCGCAGAACCGCCGCCGTGCACTGTGGGTCGGAACCAAACAGAAGAACCGCCGCAGAGGAACGGTTGTGTTTGAAGTGCTTGGATAAGAAGTCGTGGATCTGAGTGTCGTCGTGAGCTAACTGGGTCAGATTCAGAAGAGCTCGGACCTGCCAGCTGTCCTCTGACACCCCCCCGCCGTCCCATGATGCACTGCTTCCCCCGTCCCATGATGCACTGCTTCCCCCGTCCAAGATCCTCAGGAGCCCCCCCGCCTCCTCCCAGCCCCGACACAGAACCACGGTTCCCTCCCTCCAACCGGACCGATGGAGAACCGTCAGCAGCAGGGCGGAGAGAGCGGACTCTGGGACCGCCATCGCCATCTGAAGGTGGAACTGGTTCTACACAGGAGCAGCAAGGTCAGGAGAACCAGGAGAACCAGGAGAGTCAGGAGAACCAGGAGAGTCAGGAGAGCCAGGAGAACCAAGGGAGAGTCAGGAGAACCAGGAGAGTCAGGAGAGTCAAAGGGAGAACCAGGAGAGTCAGGAGAATCAGGATAACCAGGAGAGCCAGGAGAACCAAGGGAGAGTCAGGAGAACCAAGGGAGAGTCAGGAGAGTCAGGAGAGTCAGGAGAGTCAGAAGAGTCAAAGGGAGAACCAGGAGAACCAGGAGAATCAGGAGAGCCAGGAGAGTCAGCAGAACCAGGAGAACCAGGAAGACAACCAGGAGAGCCAGGAGAACCAGGAGATAACCAGGAGGAGAACCAGGAGAGCCAGGATATTCAGGAGAGAACCAGGAGAGCCAGGAGAACCAGGAGAGCCAGGAGAACCAGGAGATAACCAGGAGGAGAACCAGGAGAGCCAGGATATTCAGGAGAGAACCAGGAGAGCCAGGAGAACCAGGAGAGCCAGGAGAACCAGGAGAACCAGGAGGAGAACCAGGAGAGTCAGGAGAGTCCAGAGAACCAGGAGACCCAATGGAGAACGAGGAGAGTCAGGAGAACCAAGGGGAGAACCAGGATAAAAAAAACAGAAGAAGAACATCAGAGTGAATCAGAGGTCCAACAGAACAAATAAATCAGGCATCAGAAAACCAATCAGAATTCAGGAAATTAAAAACATATCTGGTGTCAAATCAAAACAAAAGAGAACACCAACAGAGAACCAACAGAGAACCAATGGAGAACGTAAGGAAGAAGAAAAACACCAACATGAATATAATGGTAGAACAGCGCTTGTGTTCCCGCAGACTGAAGCAGGAAGTGCTTTTGCAAAAGGGAACTACACTTGCCCCGCGGCATCCTGGGATTTGTAGTGAATCCCCAGCAGAGCAGGACAGTGCCAGTAATCCTCGAGTCAAAGGGTCACTTGCTGTTGTTGATGGGATTTACTCGCTCTTAATCCTCACAGATAATTCCCCAAAATGTTTCTGCCCTGAATCCACATTTAATAACACTCCAGACTAAAGGTTACAAATACTTTCCTGTGTATCAAATGATAGGAGCTTTAAAACTACAAAAGTCGACTGAGTTCGTGAGAGAAAGTCCTCTCTTTCCCCGGTGACATGGTGTGTGTGTATTCTCTTTGTGTTCTACCTGCAGGCGCTTTGAGGTTCAGTGTGTGAGTCGGGTTCATCTCACTGAGAGTCTCAGATAAAAGGGGATCCATCAGGAAAACTGACAGCAGCTTTTAAAGCCGACGTTCAGGGAATCACTGATGCAATCACAGCGAGAACAAATCATGGTTTTATCCTCCGCTCAATATTCTGCTGCCATGACATGTCTACCTGCAGACAGGGGGGACGGAAACACCCAACATCCATCCGGGAGTTATTTCACTAACTATGTCAGCTTTCTCCTAAAGTAGCTTCACATTATGCACAAATATTAACATGTCATAGATCTTGTCATATCAAAAAGAAATGTCTTAATGTTAGTAATGAGGTGGGGACGTTTCATGGTACGGTGGCCGACAGATTTCTGTTAGGAGAAAAGGATGCAGATATAAAAACCCAAAGGTTCCACATGAAGAAACATCTCCAGCAACAACACATGCAGTCTTTAGAGAACATTCAGCAACTTGAGGAGACATGGCAGCGTTTACTAAAAGCTGGAGAAACCAAATGCTGCAAGAAGCTCAAAACACAACGGAGACCAGGGGACACTAAAGAGTGATGCACACAGCTGGGAGACCAGGGGACACTAAAGAGTGATACACACAGCTGGAGACCAGGGGACACTAAAGAGTGACGCACACAGCTGGGAGACCAGGGGACACTAAAGAGTGACGCACACAGCTAGGAGACCAGGGGACACTAAAGAGTGACGCACACAGCTGGGAGACCAGGGGACACTAAAGAGTGACGCACACAGCTGGGAGACCAGGGGAAACTAAAGAGTGACGCACACAGCTGGGAGACCAGGGGACACTAAAGAGTGCCGCACACAGCTGGGACGGAGCGCTTGGAGACGTTCAGGATTATAAAGGATTAACTGTCTCTGTTGTTGGAAACGTACCTAAAATGTTTTATGGTCTTATTTGAACAATGTGGTCACATGACTCCTTCCTCTTCAGCAGAAACCTCTTCCACACACCATTCACACACTCTTTAACACTGAAAACATGCAGAAATTATTTTGATTTATGACAGTATTTTCTGATTTATGGAGTGACAGTAAAAGACCTCGGTAAAAACCTCTGACTCTAATATATCAACAAAACAGAGCAAGAATACGAACCTGTCTTTATCCAACGTTCACTGTGCTATATATGCAAATGAGCTCAGATTTAATAAGACACTGCCTCATTTGCATATGCCCCGTTCACCTGTAGAGTGTCATTTAAAGGGGACCTATCATGCAAAATGCACCTTTGTACGTCTTTTCTACATGAATATGTGTCCCCGGTGTTCCAGGGAACTCACCAAGTGTCAGAAAACACAACCCTCTCTATTTTCCTCCATACCCAAATCTCTAAAAAAGGGGGTGCAACGGATCTGATAAAAACTGATCCAGATTTGAACACTGTCCTGACGTCAGGACGGTGGCGCTACGGCTATTGGGCCAACTCCACCAATCAGGAGGAGACAACCACGGCCATTGCTGTTCGAAAGCGCTGGAGACGCTGTAGTACATATGCCAGGCCTGTAGGTGGTGCTGTTCTCACAGAATCAGAAAAAATGTCAAATTGAGCAAAATGAGGCATGGCTAAAATGCATGATCTGTTTGGTATTTTAAAAAAAAAAAGTATAAATATGCCTTATATAGGTATGGTCCTACACTATAGTATTCAAATATAGCATGATAGGTCCACTTTAAACTCAGAGCTGTCATCACGCCTCAAATCTTACTAACTTCTCTGCTGAAGTTACGGCGGCGATCTGTGACATCTCCGGAGCCAAAGGTCCGATGATGTCATTGTTATTTGCAGAATTAACTGAAGGTCAATCATTACAGCACTGATGCATGATGGGTAAACATGGCAGCCCGCCAACTCTCAGACACACTCAGACACTTAGACTCACACTCAGACAAAAGCTGAAGATGGATCAACAGAAATGACTTGAGTTCACGCCTCTGAGTGTTGATAACAGACATTGAAAGTGGCTCAGCTGTTATTAAAGATCCACACACAGCGCCAGCCTCGTTAACGCAATTCATTAATTATTCATTAAGTCTTTCTGACTCTACTGTGTGCGGTCTGTTGCACATATTGTACAGCACACAACGCAACAAGGTAAAGGATTAATTAAAAGTATTTATAATTTAAAGCCTCCAACCGTCACACTGTGCGCTCAACTCATCCCTGAGTCATCTTTTCGGATCGGTTTTGTTTCTTTGCTCTGAAGATTTTATAGATTTTCTGAGCAGAACAAGAGACGACCTTGACATCAGGTGAAGAGTTTGTTATTCTGTGTGTGTGCGTGTGTGTGTGTGTGTGTGTGTGTGTGTGTGTGTGTGTGTGTGTGTGTGTGTGTGTGTGTGTGTGTGTGTGTCTGCGTGTGTGTCTGTGTGTGTGTGTGTGTGTGTGTGTGTGTGTCTGTGTGTGTGTGTGTGTGTGTGTGTGTGTGTGTGTGTGTGTTTCATCTGTAACCCACTTTAGTCTTTATTTCTTATTTCGGTTATCTGTTAGAAAGCTTCTCGCCGACGACTGAGAGCCTGAAGGCAGCTCAGGGGTGTTAGTGTGTGTACGTGTATGTGTGTGTGTGTGTGTGTGTGTGTGTGTGTGTGTGTGTGTGTGTGTGTGTGTGTGTGTGTGTGTGTTTGGGTGTGTGCATGTTGATAAACGTGAACTGAATTCATTAAAAACTTAAGCAAATAGTTTTTGTTTATCCCACAGGACCTAAACACATCATCACTACCTGTTTGTATAATCAGTTAATCATCAGCTGTTAGACTCATACTCGTTAAGCGTACCTCATTAAAGACTTAACGAGTATGAGTCTAACAGGTCACACAATTACAACTCCCAGAATACCTTGCACTAAATCCTAGCCTTAGTAGTAGCAGTTAACATGTTTTTTTATTATTTAAGAGATGATGTAGATGCAGTGAAAACCACCAACCAGCCACAGCAGCCAAGCCCAATCTTTTCAGATGTTTAGCAGCTGCTGTCAGACAGACGCTGAGTCATACATCTGTTGTTGACTTAGTGAACATCAAACAGCTGAGTCTCTGAGTCTCTGAGTCTCTGAACAGATGTTGGCTCTCCTTCAGATAAACTCTGCAAACACCAAAGAGCATCAGGAGTCATTCTGACACAGAATCATTCAGAAATGACTCGTGACTTCTCTCAGACTCTAACAACAATGACTGATCCACGTTGAAATATCACAAAGATTCAGGTCCATGAATTAGTGAAGAGTCATTGGTGTGTTCGTCAGAGAAAAGTCACGAGTCATTGTTGTTAAAGTTGCAAGTCAATAGTGGTAAAGTCACGAGTCATTGGTGTTTGGGGTCCAAAAGATGAATTGGTGTTAAAGTAAAAAAGAAACCATGAATCATTGCTGTGATATCCAAGAAAAGTCATAAGTCTTTGTTGTTGGAGTCAAAGAGAAGTCACGACTCATTGGTTTTAGATCCAAGAAAATCACGAGTCATTCGTTTAAAGTCCAAAAGAAGTCAAGAGTCATTGGTGAAAAGTCAAAGAAAAGTCTAAAAATCCATTGAGGTTAAATCCAACTGAAGTAGTGCATCTGTGGTGGTAAAGTCTGTGGTGGTAAAGTCTGTGGTGGTAAAGTCTTTAGTGGTAAAGTCTGTGGTGGTAAAGTCTGTGGTGGTAAAGTCTTTAGTGGTAAAGTCTTTAGTGGTAAAGTCTGTGGTGGTAAAGTCTTTAGTGGTAAAGTCTTTAGTGGTAAAGCTTTAGTGGTAAAGTCTTTAGTGGTAAAGTCTTTAGTGGTAAA